TTTGGTATCCGGCAACGTATTTGATGTGGTAAAATATTTATTTATTAATCAAATAATAATACAACATTACATGTAATATATTAAAATAATGTCAGACCGTATCCGGTTAAATTTTATCAGTTCCATTATTTTCGTCCATTACGCAAAAAACGTTGCTAATGATTTCAAGGGCCTTATGCTATGTAAACATATTATAGCCATATTCTGGTGTGTATCAAGTTCTCTAATTAGGTTTATTTATTTTTTTTTTTTTCGTGGAAAACCAACAGCTTAACAACAAATTAAAAACATCAACAAACACATTACAGCCAAATAAAGGTTTTTGCTTATAATAACATAATGTCTAAACAATGAGCACTTAGAAAGCGGTCACAGCAAGTAAAATTATTACGTAACACATACACTTAATATATATATACATATACATACATACACACACATACATACATACATACATATGCACACACACATATACATATGCATGCATGTACGCAATGTAAATCACATATATCCCATTACCTGCGCCACGAAATGATCGCCCATTAAACAAACGCGTCCACAAGTTTACGCTTTAATGGGTTCGAATTAGAATTGAATATGTCAATATCAAGTCCACTCCTGCTAAACACATCGTTCAAACTCTTGCAAGCCCTATACAGAAACCGGTTTTGTCTATATTTAGTCCTCGCCAGCGGAACTGCAACAGGACGGTCGTATCTCATGGAACGCGTAGGTATATTAAACACAGTACTACTCAGTAATTCGGGACAGTCGACATCACCGCTTATGATGTTTAACAAATACACTAAATCAGTAATAAGAGGCAATATGTGTTGATCCTTACAAAGACGTAGATATTCGATTGAATTAAAAGACTTGCCCATTTTATAACACAAGATTTTCATAAATTTTTCCTGGACTCGTTCAACAAAATGATAGTGACGGAGTGAAGATATTTGTGTTTTCCATCCGTTACTCTCATCTCTGGACTGTATTCGCACTTTCCATCAGGCGCGGTGCAGTCATTTTGCCGAGTCACAATAAAAAAAAAAAAAAAAAAACTCTGTCTACATAAATTTGATAACATGGATTCCAAATTTGGGAGGCATATTCCAATTTACTACGGACATACGCACAATACAGTATTCGGAGAGTTTTAGGTCTCGAGAAGCTGACTGAATTCCGTATTATTAACCCAAGTGACTTAATAGCTTGAGAAACAATAGCATCTATATGAGTATCAAAAATATGCTTAGAATCATGAATGACCCCTAGATCTTTCATGATTATCTTATGTTGAAGATCAATGTTTCTCAAGCTATACGAGGTACATATGTATATTATCAAACTTACGCGAAAAAGTCATTGAGAAACATTTAGAGGGGTTAAGGTCTAGCTTATTGCTAACACAGTAGTCGTCAAGACGAGATAAATCAGATTGAAGAACAGTAGCGTCATCAACTGAAGAAATCTTGGCATATATTTTCATACCATCTGCGAAGCTCAGCAGATTAGAGAAGCGGAAGCAATCACCAATATCGTTAACAAAAATATTAAAAAGCAGCGGCCCTAATAATGAACCTTGTGGCACACCGCTAGGTATAGGAACCCAACTGGATACATAATTATTAACGACTACCGCTTGAGATCTACTATTAATATACGAAGAGAACCACCGCAAAAGAGCGAGCTGCCATTCGAAAATATCATGTGAAGAACACATATGTATTTCTGCAGCCACTTTCGTATAATATTAATGGCGCACACACTCAACATAGCCCCGCACTAGGGAAACCCTGTGTCGCGGGTGCCATGGACACACACGTTGACCACAAATTAACCCAAACTCACAAGAGAAATAATGTAGGTCATACAAATATATATATTTTTCTGTTAAGAAATTATTGAATTGAACGTACGTGTTGTAGTTTGCCTTACCCATTCATATTAATTATTCAAATTAACGTTGTCAAATAAGGAATAATCGCCAAATACAATTTAAAGTGACACTGATTTAATTTCATCATCATCATCGTTCAGCCATACGACGCCTACTGCTGGGCCTATACAGGCCTCCCCCAAGTTTTAAGATTTAATTTAATATTTATATATTGAATAAAGTGAGACTGACTCACTTAAAAACCCGCATCCGGTTCAAATTTTTCATTACGCCATTATTGCTTTATCATAAAAATAAATCTTTTATTACATTTGAATTTATCTCCTAATGGTAGAATGGCATAATTGAACTTAAGTCAAACAGTTTTATTGCTCCATTGGATACAGAAAAATATAACCCAAATCCTCTTCAATTCTTGTAACTCTATCAACAATTTGCAACTTTACATACATTTAACGTAGGTAATTCTAATGAACTGCTGAGTTCACGAAGATCCCCTGGGGGATTGGGCTAGGGGATCCTGGTGGACTCAACGTATGGTGGCGAAAATTATTACCAATTTTGGCATAATGGGTTGTTTTATGTGTATAGCAGCATCCAGGCTACTTAGTGCATGACCAGCTCAATAATACAACGTTTGTTCGTGTACACGTGGGGCTCACCCCGGCTCACGTAACCTGTCTCGTGTCGTCATGGCGGGAACGGCGGGCCGCAGTTTCACTTTTATTGTCTATTGTCTATGGTACATTATGTCAATTACACTATATCTCTCCCTTTCAATAAAAAAAAATGCCAGGTGCACGAGTCGTAATCTTGCGTTTTTTCCTTGCTTGCGTTGGCTGGGTCAGTCTTCCGCTTTGCGTTGTGGAGAGACTTGCGCGCATGCGCGGCGCTTTGTCCTTGTTTTGGTGTTATTGGACGCGTGAACGCTGCTGCTCTGTGATTGGCCAATGGTGCTGTCCTTGCGTGGAAATATCAAACATGCTAGAAATCAAATGCACGCAACGAAAAGAAGTCCAACGCATAGCAAGCGGCAGGCGCAAGCGAGCGACTCGTGAACAGTCCACCTGTGCGCACAAAACAGATCTTTGCGTATGCGCGAGACGAGTCACGCAAGCAAGCGAGAAACGCTAATGGAAGACTCGTGCACCCGGCATTAATAACATGTCTGTTTTACTTTACTTTTATACTGATTTCTAATTGTCACAATCTACTAAACATAACCTAAGAATTTTACATTGTTCTTCATTGTTTATGTTTCGGCGTTGATAACATCGGCTTGACCTTCCTCCTCGTTGTGAATTTGCCATAGACCCTGTATTTCCTTTTCTTCTTCTTAATTCTTGACTCGTCTAGTAATTTTTTTCGCATGTAGGTATATTTCCTCTTTTGCTTGTATAATCGCGTATGGTGTATATCATAGGGTAAAATAGAAGTTCGTCCTTCCAGTCGAAATTTTGGCGTTGACTTATTTTAAAACGTCTTAATTCATCGCGGTTTTGTTTTTTCGACTTCGCCTCGTTCTGTTATGGCCAGTAGAAATCCGAGGAGAAGGATTTAAATTCAATGTCGTACAAGTACAAGTGGGTACCAACGCGGCTATAACAATCAATTACGAGAAATATACGTTATAATGGGTGCTTCTCAGTAAACCTGGAAAGTCAATAATTACAACAGTTGCGTTAGAATTCTCGTCTTCTCATGGCTACAGGAAGGCTAGGTCCTGCAACTAAAGTGCAACTTTCATAGCTCTTACAAATATCTTATTTAAACTACATTCTATACTTTGATACGCAGTTTAATATACAGCCGTAACATACAGCCTGACCTCACCCCTTTTGGGTTTAGACCTGGATGAGACTAGCGTTGATAGTTCACCTACTATATTTATATAATAAGTAATGTTTAAATACTCATCTTTTATAAATTGTAACTACTTATAACTACTTATCTGTTATTTGTTAAACTTGCACTATTAGGCACTAAGATTAAAATGTTTAATTTTACCATGATTATTTTATATAATTTAGATTTTTTTTTTGTTTATTACAGTTTATTTTAATATTTTATCTTCAATTACATTTTTTTCATTAGGATTGTATTAGATTAAGTCATATTGAAATAAATTTAACTTATCTTATCTTATCTTATCTTACCTGTTGTCGGGGATAGTGCAAATCCGCGTATGTAGCATTGGCAAAAGGCGCGTAACTGCACTAAACCAAATTTACTATATTATATATAATATTTTATTAATACATTAATATGTATAATATATAATATAAGTTGTGGACATCATCCAGAAATGTAGCAAGCTGAAGTTGCAGTGGATCACATCTGTCGCAGAACCGATAAGCGACGTAGTAGATGGGTTCTCCAGTGGAGATCACATCTCGACACACGTAACGTAGGATGTCCCCTTGCAAGATGGACCGACGATCTAAGATCTGAAGAAGGTCGCGGGTAGTGGTTGGATGCGGAAAACGGATGATCGGAATCTAAGGCGTACACTTGGGGAGGCTTATGTCCAGCAGTGGACTGCAATAGGCTTATTGATTGATTGATTGATTCTTAATATTTTGTATGGACTTAACCATTTCTGTAGTTGTGACTCAAGATTTAGGACTATCTTTATTAGTGGCCCTGAAGGCATAATTTCCAAGTCCAGTTCAATTGGTGTCCCTCATTTATCACTCATAATTTATAATCACTCAAGGCTCAGTTTTTCCTTAAATATCCTTCAATGTTTGTTATATTTATATTAATGCGACAGAGTCGTGTCTGGATTGTAATAAGCCGCTTTATGATGTTTGCTCTAGCGTAGATGAAGTGATAGCTCTGAAACAATGTAAATATGCTCTAAACCCTGCTGTGTTTGCTTCTTATGTATTGGAAGCTTTTCTGGGTTATATGCTACGGATAAGCCATGTGTACATAGGAATTAAGTCCCAGTCATATATAATTATATTAATATTATAATAATTTAACTACGGGGACGCTTTCGCACTCTTCCGCGGTCCCGACGGCGCTGGCCCTCGGCCGACGCCCCCTTGCCGTTGGGGTGGAGCTGGAGAAACACCACCCCATTCATCACTTACAGGGGCGCGCAGAAACACCGCGCGCGCCACCTCAAAGCCTATACATTACGTGCAGCGGACGCTCCTGCGTCCACCGCCAAAACCCCAGTTATAGGGGTTGAAGGAGGGCATGGTAGTGCCTCCTCAGACGCCTGGCTCTCCTGCGGCGGATTGGAAGGAGAGTCGTAGCCTCCCTCTCCCGCTCCGCAGCTTCCTTCTGCGACATTACGCATTCGTAGAAGGATACTACCTCCGTCCACGACCTGTCACTTTCCAGCATTGATTTGATTTGAAAAAAATTACGCAACAATCGAAAAAGAATTATTGGCCATCGTTTGGGCAGTTAAGTATTATAGACCATATCTGTACGGTCGCAAGTTTAGAATTATTACTGACCACAGACTATTAGTTTATTTATTTAACATGAGCAACCCCTTAAGTCGGTTGACAAAATTTAGATTATGCTTGCTTTAGGAATATGACTTCACAGTTGAGTATTTGAAAGGGCAAGAAAATGTAGTTGCAGATGCACTATCTAGAGCGGAAATAACGAGTGAACAGCTGAAGCGTATGAATGAAAATATAATATCAGTAATGACTAGAGGACAAAAGTGACGAGTGGAAGAGAAAGAAAGACAGAAGGGTTTTGTTGATAAGGTTTCTTCTAACGATTGGACTGATCACCCAAGAGTCGTGGAAATACTTAAAAAACCAAACCATCTATCGAGATGAGTTTCGACGAAAAATAATATAATCATTGTAAGAAAATAGTAGATTGTGTATGGAGCAGTAATCATATATTTTATTATACACCCTCTTCGTCTTTAATGTGTGTTGAACCAACTTCTCGATCATGTGTAAAACGAGATTTCTTCGTGAGAGAGTTTTGCAATACTTTAAATATAAAAGAGTTATGCATAATTCGAAAAAGAAGTAATGAGAAAATTATTAAAGAGTTATCTCAAAGTATTATAATCTCAGTACAGAGTACTAAAAAAACCGACCTCAAAAGTACGTGGAATTACGCCTATTTCCTAAGTTTTATTGAAATATCCCTTAGTTCGCCACTATACAGGACTTGACACTGGAGACAATAAAAATAGGTTCTCACTACGAAACTACTCAAAGTATATTGAGAGAAAAACGCCTTGAATTGAAGAAATAGCAAAATGAAGCATTAAATTAATTGCTCCTAAATTAAAGTTAGGCGCTATTTATAAAAATGAATCTTCATGCCTGAACAGCCACCCTTCCAGGTAAATGATTTTCTCCAAAATGAAATGGGACCAATATGGAAGTACCCCCTTTCCAACAAAAAAAGAATCATGAAAAAAGGTTCACAAATGCCTGAGTTATCGCGTAACATACATACAAAGAAAAAGAAAAAGAAAAAAAAGAACATACAGTCGAATTGAGAACCTCCTCCTTTTTTGAAGTCGGTTACAAAATATAAATAAATGGTCCGGACCACGTATTTCTATTATAAAAGGTGTAACTAAAGTTGAAAATAAAGACGATAGACGTGTTATACTTAACGACAAACACATACTGCCCACCAGTAGCCATGCAGGCATACAAAGAATGACCAATAACTTAAAGCGTTATTTTTATTGGCCAGGTATGGACAAAGACGTACAATTGTTTATTAAAAGATGCGAGGCATGTCAAAAGTTCCATAATAATGTTAAAGAACCATTGGGCATAACTACTACGGCTACAACAGCTTTTGAGAAATTTTTTTTAGATTTGGTAGGACCTTTAAGTAAGGATTTCCAGGGATATTGCTATATATTGACACTTCAGTGCGAGCTCACGAAGTATGTCGAGGCATATCCACTTCCTAATAAGGAGGCTGAGTCAGTTGCACGAGCTTTTGTAGACAATTTTATTTTAAGCTATAGAATACCTAGCGAAATAGCAACAGATCGAGGTAGCGAGTTTTTTCATCAACCATGCAACATACGTGTAAATTGCTAAAAATAAAACAGGTGCAATCCACCGCATACCATCACGAGAGTCTAGGTTCTTTAGAAAACACTCATAAGGCGTTGGGGGCTTTCCTTAGAATCCAGACTGGTAACCAGGCTCACAAATGGAGTGATTGGTTACAATACTGGTGTTTTGCTTTTAACACTACTGTGCACTCTGCTACAAAATACACACCGTATGAGTTGGTGTGTGGAAAACTCTGTAACATTCCCAGTAATATTATGAATAATGTAGATCCCATATATAACTTTAATGTCTATCCAATAGAATTCATATATAAATTACAAAAATCTCAAGAAGACGCTAGAAATAATCTAATTAAGTCAAAGGAAAATAGAAAAATAAGGTATGACCAAACTTGTAACCCAGTTATTTATAAAAAAGGAGAATAGTTTTTAGTCAAAAAGGAAAGAAGGGACAAGTTGGATTCAGTGTTTTCAGGACCATTCAAAGTAATTGAACATGTGGGCGTAAATATAAACATCTCTGTCAGAAATATGGAAAATGTTATTCATAAAAATAGAACAATCCCGTATTTTTGTAACCCATAGTAATTCAGATGTCTAGCTATTAAATACCTACATTGTAAGTGTTGTAACGTTGCTATGTGTCATCATGCTGTTTGTTATTGTAAACATCGAACTATATTAGGGTAGTATTAATTAGAACTTATTACGAGTGAATGAACTTTAGTTATATTTAGAATAAGAAAACATTGTAATAAATAATCAATTATGTTAAAATAAAATAAAAAAAAATTATGGGGGCTGGTGTGATGTAGTGATACCTACCTTTTAATTAGACTAAGAGATTTCTATATATGGTACACAATATTAAATCATACATTGTAACCTTTGTTTCCAATCAATATAGGTTATAGATACGCGTTGACAAGTAAACATGGGTCTCATGTAAGTGCTCTCCAAAAACCTACCTCACCGCTGCAAGAAGAAGCCATCTTCTTTTTATCACAATGCCATATGTCAATCAATTATTATATGTTGATTGATCCACCCTGTCGTCGCACTCACGTGTTGACCGATCCATGGTTAAGCACCAAGAGGCCAGTCTCCATTGCCCATTGTCCTAACACTACACCGCGCGCATCTGTCGTAGGGGATCCCCACGCCGAGGATTTGGCGGTGAAGTCCCTCACGAGGAGAGTTGGGCGAGGCGGGGTTTGCACTATAAGGTTCCCGACGCCGTCCAGAAATGCCTCGAACGCTTACGCTTTCTACCCAGTTATCTCTGGGAGGAACGTAGTACAGCTCAGCGACTCTCTCGCTCGGTATCTCAGGCCGGTAATCCCGCAGCTGGCGAGATCTGCCTTTTCTCGCGCTTCAGCAAGGACCTTGGCATACGTTATGCCTTTCTCCTTAGCCCCTGGCTGCAGTGTAATGACTACAGCTGCAGACTTAGGGGCGCGCAACTTCACAGTTTGGGTCTTAGGATGAGCAACCACCTTCGGTTGGAAACTGCCGCGGCCCTGCTACGTCGCCTTACCACTGTTGTCCATCCCTTGTCCGTAGGCAAGTCTTCCGGTGGGAAGGAGCGACATTCCGGCTCTTGTGGATTTCTTGCAGGAGGACGAGAACCCGACTGGTTCAAGAGGTCCTTCGCCCCTTTGTTTGTTGGAGGACCTGATGCTACCTGGACCTTTCGTACCGCTTTACCTTTAGAGGCCTTTCCTTTAGTTCTTTTCTGGGAGTTAACTCAGTCTCTCCTCCAGTGTCTCCAGTCTCGCACTCACCATACCTCAAACTTGGATTATTATGGACCGTATCAGCTCTTCCACGAACCCACTGTCTAGCGGAGATGACGATTCGGACACCTCCACTCGTTGTGACGATGGCTGAGCAGGAGATTGAAGGACCGAGCTCTTTTGGACATGCCGTAACTGTTTACGGAGTTCCGTTAATTCCCTGCGAAGTTCTATCACTTTTCTCTGCAGACGCTCATTGTCAGCCTGTAGTTTAGCTGTCTCTTCATTGGAGGATCTATTGTGTAGAACCTCCACTGCTGTGTTGATGGACTCAGCCGCATCCTTCAAGTCACGTTGAAACGTGCCCTTTAAGACAGTACTACCCTGGACGAACTCTTTCTCAAAGAGCTCTACTGCTACTTAATGATTTCGTAATTGAATGCGCCTCGTAATTTAAATTTTTTTCGGTATACCTAAACATACCCCGGGTTTAACAACATCATAAACAGTGCTATTATCATCGATTGTCTACGACAAAAGATATTTGCCTAATATGTAATACAAACTCATACTTACATTCACATTACATTATTAATATGCATTCGTATTATTGATTAATCATTTAATGAAAGAACGAATGAATAAATAATTAATTATTGTTGTTGTAGTTATAGATAGGTAGGGTCGAAGAATTCGTCTGAGATAATAAGTCACTGATCAATCGGTAATGGACATTATTACTAACTAAAGAAACCTACACCATATCACAGTATAAGACACCACAAAGAGAATATATATTAAACCTTTCACAAGAACTAGAATTGGTCGATCTGTTATATTTAGATATTAAATTGGCTTACCTTTGATCTTCTGTATTTTTCATATAAAACACACAAAAAATTCGCAAACCACACAAATGCATGCTCACTTCGGCCCTCGCGCGTCCATTGCCCTACAATTGTGAAGGATCGTAACCAAAGGAGGGAAGGGGGACAGGGGACGTTTATTGTAAAAATAATTGTATTGGATTTGAATCTCTATTAAAATGTGTTAAGTACATTTGTAGTGCCACATTCACTGAATTATAAAGTTGTAAATTATAACTTCAATTAACCCAGAGCGAATTGAATTTTTGTATTTCGAACTAAACACAATTATCGAGCAGAGAATTTGCTGTATCTCGGGGAACAATAGTTGGTTGGCTACAATAAAATGCTCTAAGTATCCCGAGATCCTGTATCTCAACTTTAAAAAAAAAAGTAAGTAAAATTCTTGGTGTGTGTCTATTTTATTGTAAAAAATAACAAATTTATCCCATTTACACCATTTTTCCGTGTGTTTCGTAAAAAATCAATGCCAAAAATCAACGTCGTATGACAAAAAAATATCATCATAGAATTATGACACCTAGACCATAAAAATTTGGATTTATTTTCAGATTTCAAATATATAAAAAACTCATTTTGTCATTTTTCGAGATACGACAAGATAGCTTTCC